GTGACCATGTATTATTGTCTATTCTACGTCTGTTCATGACCGACTAGTCGGTCAAAACATTGCGGTAACTTCAGTGTTTAACCAAATTTTGTTTAAAAAGGGAAAATATGTCGTGTTCAGCTGTATCTTGTACATCAAGAAGAACAAAAGGAGGAGTGAAAGATCCGGAATTGTTATTTAATACGTAATTGTTAGACAACATTTTGTATTACTTTAAATGCTTAAAGGATGTTTTTTACCTGAAAAACTTGTAGTAATTATATTTTATTATTTTATGTCGTATATTCCTATGTGATAATGATAAAAAATTTAGTGTAAAACCGTTAATTATAGGAAAACTAAATGCACTGTTTTATTAAATTTTGCTAGTGTAGGTACTAACTAATTTAGCTTTTCAGAAGATATTTCAGTAACCGTTTTTACCGTAAAAATTATTTTATAGATTTCTAAAAAGTCAAGAAATAAGACGTGAGTAGATTAACGCTGCCACATGTGATAACTGGGAGTCCAATAAATAATCAAGGGCTAAAAAATAAGAAGAAGAAGAATCAACTAAGACTTAATCAAAACATTTCGATTAAAAGAATGGACACTCGATGTAGTTCCAACAAATTTTCAAGAATGTTACAGTTGTGTAGTGGCGGTGTAAGAATATCTTTTTGTGGGTGTCGTAAGAGGAGGCAGAGGGAAACTGAAACAGGAGATGAGCTGCAGCATATTTCGGGTAACTAATCAATGCATTTCATCCAAACAGTCTCTTACCTCAAATATAATGACAACAAAACCCTACTGTCTACAATTCTAAGTCAAATACGGTCTGACAGTCTTCCACTTCTACAGCATGCATCAGCAAGAGCATCTAATAACCAGATTCAAAAAGTTCTTAGGGCTATGATGTACACTTTCCTCATTATGATGGTAAAGATTGTAAACATTGCGATTAGCACCTTTTGGCAGAATGTGCGAACCAGTGATGGAAATATAATTAACCAACTGCCAGGTATAACAATAGAAGCTAAATCTGTCATGTATGAATTGGAAGCCTTTTTGGCACTGATAATGTACTGGGAAATGTTTGATACATAATAACGCACTTATAGTACCGTAAAAAATAAAAAATCTGAATTGAAATATAGTAAAGTGAGATTTTTCATTTTTTCTTAATTTTTACGATACACAAATTTACATTTTTAAAATAAAACTGTTATGTAACACAGTTTTTATTTACCGTTTAAAAAAAGGAGAATCCCAATTCGAGTGCATGTTTTTTGTGTGTGTTACCGATTTTAATTATTCTTTTTTAATAAATAGATTATAATTGAGTTGTCCCGTGAAATTTGGAGAAAAAATTCCTTACCCCTAAGGGTGAAAAAAAGGTTTTTTTATTGCTACTACTAAAAATTTTACACACAAATCGGTTAATAAAAACTGTATTACATAATAGTTTTATTTTATAGAAGAACGACAAACGAAAACACAGTCCACCTGATGATAAGTTGATGCTGTGGCCATTGACATTTAAATCTATCTCCGTATTCAATTAAGAATCAAAACGCAGATTAAATTAGTCGTGTTTAGGCCACCTAGCGTCTATTTTACGTACCACCATAAGAGTAATTTTTTTTCCGATAAAATGACTTAAGTATATGACTATAAAATTGAGCAGATGGCTCTATTGCAAAGTAATTTTACTCTAAAGATTATGACATTAATTTATTTGTTATAAAATTTATTTTATATCTTATCGCCGTAACATTATGTATATTTTATATTTCATTTCACTTGAAGGTTTCACTTCTACCGCGTATAACTAGACATACACACATGTTATTTTATTAATTTTAGCATTATTTCTTCGGTAATTTAAATAACATAGTCACCTCTCTAGTCTTGCACACTAATGTATACCTACAACTGACAACTGACAAAAAACGGAAACGCTAAAAACTAAAAGGCTTTATCCAGTATGGTGATTTATCCAAGATTTTGGGTGTGAGCCTAAATTTTTTTAGTTTGTGGCACATGAGTAAATAAACGGAACAGAAACAAAGCTTCTTAAGAACGTGCAAAATTGTTACCAATTCTTGTAGGGTTGTCACAATGGGTGAAGACAAATTAAATAAAACATTTGTTAAATAGTTTTATTATTCAGTATTATACAATACTTTATAAATTACTTACTCAAAAAATTTTATTTTTACAATTTTTGTTTTTTTTTTTAATAATTTATTGTTTCTTTTCACGGTGTGGTAAATTCTGAATCGAAGATAAAGTTTTTTCAAGTAATCTAACGGGAAACATGCACAAGGCATATCAAATTCACAATCTTTAAGTAAGAGTTTTCTCGTAAGGAGACAATACCAGCTGCAGTAGCAGTTCATAATAAAAATCGTGTTAAACTATCAAAATTAAACTAACATTCAAAATTTCGTGACCCTGCTACTACCCGTTGAGGAGTTCCCTAGTGAGGAGACAATCCTGGCTGCAGCATCAGCTTATATCTATCATATTATTGCATTGTCACTGAAGTTACGATATACAAAATTTCAACTCAATCAAATTTCGGGACGTGGTTCAAATCTTACTTGCAATATGTGAACTTAACACCCATACATACTCCATACCAACTCACCCACATACCTACAAATGTTTAGTAAAAGCTTGTAATAGCAATAAAAAGGTAAAAACACACCGTGTAGTAACCTCTTCTTATTAATAAAAATAATCATACAATAAAATAAAGGTACTTACTTGAAAAAGTAATAATCAAATATTTATTTACCTATTATACTCCATGTGATAGTTAAAGAATGATATATTTTTATTTTTTCTAGTATTATTCATATACACAGTACAATAAACAACCATTATTAATAATACCACGTTTTGACATTAAAATATTCAAACATGCAATTAACAAAACAAACAACGTGCGTCTGCGTCACACTGACCCTAAGATTGTTGTCCACTGGCTGTACCAGCGTAACCGGTTTTATTCAGTCTTGCTGAGTACGCAACAAGCGGCCAGTGGTCACGCACATGTGTGCGTGCCCCGCGTGAAGCTTTATCTCTGTTCCGTTTATTTACTCATGCGTTTGTGGTGCAAAGAGTATTTGTTCATTAGCTCCCAGTAGGTTATTAAAAAACTAAAAAGTACTTTGTAGTAGTAGCTTAGAATAAAAATATACCTACTACATTGTGGTAGTTACCAAGATTGTCATTGTTTAAAAAAAGGTAGAGGATGACACACTCGTCAATTGGTATGGTAAACACTCGTCTTCTCGTGATAACTACCCAGTCCGGCTATTGAGATTATCTTAGAGTAAGGATTGAACAAACTATCAATATCTATGGAGTGAAAAACACGACAACCATGTAGATTAAGGAAGGTGACAATAAATAGTTACATCTATATTATCTTGTACCACGTAAAATCTCATATGCATTAAGAGAACAAGAGCTCGTCAGAGTTTTGTTCTCTTTTAAGATTCTGTTTTAAATTTTTAATTGGGTATCAGCGAAGAAAATTAGTTAGGAGAATTTTGAAATTGGCCGAAATTTTATACATGGTCGCTTTTGATGGTGACCTAAATCTCAAGTTTATTATCCGCTTAGACGCCTTGAGATACAATCGTCTTTAACTTTCCGCTGGATTAAGCTGTCTTCAAAATCCATACTACTTATTTAACTTTAGTTTATACAACTTATTTAACTAATTTTAAGTATCGTTTTCGAAACTATAATGTCTATAATGGTGAATTATTATTATAGTTATATGAGTTACTAAGTGAAATTAAATTCAAATAACGGCCATGCTTATGTTTCCCTCATTTTTTTTGATAAAACTGTTTATCCAAATGCGAATACACTACATAATTTAATTTAAGAATCGAACACTGAAAGCATCTACATATAAAAAGAAAGTGTCAAGAAAAATTTTTGGCAATGTACTTGTAAATGTATTTTTTTACGGTAGTGAAAAATAATATTTTTCAAAAAATGTTTTAACTTATAAGTGTATTTAAATAATGTTAATAAATTATAATAAAAAAAAATTTAAATTATAATGAGTACTATAATATATCCAAAATTATTTTATTCCAATTTTCGTGACGACCCTTAGCCTGACCAGAGTTAGGTTTTTAAACTGTGATGTGACGCCTTAGTGTGACGCATCAACATATTGTTAAGAATTTTGTGTACACATCAGACCAGGCTGCATGATATAAGACCTTTGCCCGCATTACTTGGCGAATCGTACCAAAAAATATAAGGCTATACTACCTACCTACCCTATAATTTTATATGCGCAGTTCGGCGTAGCTTTATCCTCTTAGTAGTCTGCTAGTCTGTGAATTAATGTTATTGTTATTCTGTGGGAGTTTTGGCGGTAACTTGACCGGCGACGGATTGCTGCTCCTGTATTATTGTTTAAATAATGGTTTGAAGTAGATATGTAAAAGTGGTGCAATTTTGTGTATTAAATGTATACGCATGTGAACTATTAGTGGAAACGGTAAAAGTGCTCTGATGATAATGTGATTCTCAAGATAAGGTGACTGTCTGCTTAGGCTCCTTAAGATACCATCGCCAATTGTCAGCTGTCTGCTGGCTTAAGTTGCCGTCGAAATCTTCCAAGGGCTGCACAATGTGACGCATTTACATAATATTGTGAAGCAGTGTACTATGAAGAATAATTATACATTGTAACTTCAGGCTCAGAAAGGCAAGAACCCAGAGCCGTAAAGCCAGTTATTAAGAAGAAGGTTAGTCTGTGGTTCTTGTTATGTTGCATATTATGTTGTATACTGTTAATGTATTATTAAAAACCTACGATTATTCTTAATATAAAAACAAAAGAAACATGTGAAATGTGCTTATTGATATTATACTATTCTCCATGAAGGATTCAAGTTGCTTAAATTTAACTTTTTTATAACCTATAAATCAGAAAACAGTTACATATGTACATAATATATTAAATACTTTTAAATACTTACAATTACTATACTGAAGTTAAATATTTTTATTTGATAATCAACAGAAAAAGTTTTCAACAACATAACAACAATGTATAAAATACTTTACACCGCGTACTATATAATATTAGATACGCTTGCCAATTTTTGTTGTTACTTTTACTTGTGATAATGATAATGTGATTTTAAGGCCGGCCCATACGTCGGAATTCCGTTTCGGAATATGTATCGATTCAGGATTCCGTAAATACATCACTCACACACACACACACACACGCACACGCACGCGCACGCGCACGCGCACGCGCACGCGCACGCGCACGCGCACGCACACGCACACGCACACGCACACACACACACACACACACACACACACACACATACACACGTTTATTCGATTCGTCATATTTCCTTTCGGTATAACAAGGCTCAGTTGAGAGACGTTAGCACAGAACACTATTACTCCTAACGGAGGACGCTAGGCATTGAGTCCAGACATTCTGCCAGCGAATATGGGCAACGATTTTCTGATTGCGATTGCATTGTTGCTGTATCATTGTTACTGGGTGCATCCCCTTAACACCCAAGATATCAAGATAGTAGATAGATAATATTATGTAAAAAGATACAAATTACGAGCATATCCAGAGATTTTTTAAAAATACTATCGGATGTCTATAAACTCTTACGACGAATTATCAAACGAAATAAGAGGAAATGCTACGAAATGAGATACATATTTTATAAGATTTCATATTATACAAACATTCATAAACACACCTATTCGCTTCGATCATGCGACGCACACTGAGTGATAGATAAATAAATATGTTGCAAACTAGGTGCTTTCCGTACGGAATTAACGTATGTGTGATACGACTCATCAAAAGCTATGGGTGACTTGCGTTTGGATCGGCTTTTTTCCGTGCGGAATTCTGAACGCACATTAAATCCTGCGGAATTTCGAATCGAACAAATTTCCAACGGAACACTACTGAACGTGTATGATAGGTCATTGTATGTGTGATACGACTCATCAAAATCTATGGGTGACTTGCGTTTGGATCGGCTTTTTTCCGTGCGGAATTCTGAATGCACATTAAATCCTGCGGAATTTCGAATCGAACAAATTTCCAACGGAACACTACTGAACGTGTGTGATAGGTCCTTGAGTTATATGGATTCGCTGCGTTCGAAATCTCAAATCGATATTATTAAACGGTTTTTCGAAACGGAATTCCCACTGTACGTGGCCGGCTTAAGGATGTATGTTTGTTGTATTGTATTTGTATGTCAAATGTCAATGCAATGTCATTACCATTAACATTTAATCTAAAAATCAGTGAAAATGGTGAAAACTAGATGTCGTTATTATACATTTTCATTGCATTGAATTCGCATTGTCATTGATTTGTCATTGAAGTGTTCATTGCACGGGCAGTAATCTTCATAGAGAAAATACTGGACATGGGAAACGTCATAGTAAGATGATATATGACAGCTAACATCCCCCCTCGCCTCTCAACATCATTTTAAGCATGGAGTATAGAGTAGACTACTCTATACTCTATGCTTCTGCAAGCTGTCGTAGCCATATTGATTTTGTTTGTTTTGTCATTGTCACTGAGCACTGAGTGATATATTCACGCCTAAGGGTATTAGTGTTCTGTGGATATATTTGATCCACCACATTTAATCAAAGGAATGCGAAACAATTTTTAACAAAAAATGTACAATACCAAGAAAATATTTCTACATGGACAGATAAGAAAGACTGGGAACATACAGAAACACGGTTATTACACAAACTTAACGACAAATATGTTATTCCTGGAAAAGAAAATTGAGATATAAAATAATTGTAACTTTATTTCAATTACATGTAATTAAATGGTACGACTTTCCATTGACGTTCGTCGAGTTGGGGGTTGATATTTTTTTTAACAGAAACGTTACATTATTATAAGCACAAACGCAAAGTTTCAATATGTGGAAATGCATTCTTTTTGAGAAAAAAATTATTGAAAATCAATTATTTTTGCAATGTTTATGTCTAATCCTCGCCTTCGCAGCTTCGGCCTGTTGGTCGCCTTCGGCGACCAGCCTTAGCCGCTACGGCTCGTACGATGCCTACGATTTGTTACAGCAGGCGGAGGCTGCTCCCCCTACGCACAACCGGCTCTATAAAATCACTCTAGGGGTAGGACAGACTCGTACCAGGTGGAGTCGGGGTCAATCAATTCGGTTCTTTGACATAAGTTGAACCTAACCTATTTTATTTGTTATCTGCCCTAATAGGTACTGTTAAAATAAAACAAATTTCAATAAGAGATCATTTATTATGGTATCTTTCTTGTTTTTCATAAAATGGATTTATATTTACATTATAAATGCAAACATGAAAAAATATAGATATTTTAGAAATCGATTTTTTGTGAATCGATACATCAGCTTACGATTAAATTCGATTTAAAAATCGATCTTTTTCGGTAAGAATCGACATCTCTACTAACGACGACAATGACATTACAAAATGGCGCAAGTTTTACATGAATTAAACTATAGATTAATTTTATGCAAGTAATTGTAATGTTAAACAATCGAATTATTGAATTGATGTAATAATTATGATTTTATTAAATTAATTAATAATAAATAAATTAAACAAATTGAATTATATAAAACTAAATTAGATGAGATTAAATTTATTAAAATGTAAATGTTACTTGTATGGACTCAGTCTGAAATAAATTGATTTTTTTTTATTTACGGTAGGATTAGACATAAACATTGCAAGAATAATTTCAAAAACGCGTAATTTCTCAAAAATTACGCGTTTCCCTTCGTGTGTGTGCTTATAACAGTGTAACCTTTCTGTAAAAATACATATCAACACCCAACTCGACAGACGTCAATGGAATGGAAAGGTAAGCCAATTAAATTTTTGTATGTGTAATACAGGTTTTCCTAATCAAATTGTTTATGAATTATTTACAGGTTGAGAATTATGTTCCTGTATTTAGTAAAACTGTGGAAGGACCCTTTAATTATACCTCTACATTTTGTAAGTTATCATATTAATTATTTTAATAAATATATTAATACATAGCACCATAAAACTGAAGTGTTTTGGCTAGTGGTGAAAACCAGATGCTTTTTTTACTGGTAACAAGGCATTCTTTTATCTTCAAGGATGACAATGAATTTTGACACTTAATTGAGGATTAATGTAGGTGTCTGTTGGCAACAGCACAGCACAGCAGTAACTTAAAAATACTGTATAGAGTACGTAATGATATTTCATTTAATAATATTTCAAATATATATATATTACAGCTCATTATTCGGAGTGCGGCCAGTGAGAAAAACGAAAAAATACTCCAGAAATATTATCTTTCATGGATAACCTATTTGACAGTGTGAATGGAAGTGCGGTGATAAATAATAAAAGAAGTGGGAAAGATTTAACAATTTTGATATTCTTTCAGCAAGCTTTGTTGAAACTACAACATTTAAAATTTGTTAATAAAAATGGTCATGAATGTACAGTGCCCAGTGTAAAGAACTGAATGAGTACCATAAAAAGTTTTATGAAATTGTGGCAGTTTTTGTCCAAGAAAAACATAAAAATTATGTTACCCCGTTATACAAATTCGGATACAATTGAAAACTTTTTCGGTCAAATAAGATCATACAATTTTAGGAACCATAACCCGACTTGCCACTATTTCATAAATGCTTTTAAAGCTTTATTAATTACAGGATTAATTAAGTTTTACCGCTTATCTTTTAATTGTGAAAATGATGTTAGTGCACAATTATTAAAAATAATGAGCCTGTTTAAAGGACGTAAAGGGAAGTGAGTAATGTAAATGGTGAAACTGGTGAATCTTATATTGATACTTATCCATTAATTCTAAATTTGTAAACAAAATTATTGTAAAGTGTAGTGTTATGCTACTTACATATCATTTTACATTATTTTAAATTCATTTTTCCATTCTGTTTCGATTTTCTGCATTCACCTCAAAACTGGATATTTTACATCACCTTTATTTCCATAGGATCCTGTAACGATTTTAAACCATAAGAACACAATAACAAATCATTTCTACTTCGTATTTTCACACTATCAACACTTTTAAATTGGTGTCAATGGAGTCTACCTTTTTTCGATCTTTTATTTAGTTTTCCGTAACTCTGCAATTTCGGGCTTTGTGCGTGCAGTTGCGCTACCTTTTTTCCTATATCAATAATATCTCATTTTTCACTTAAATCTTGCCGTTTTTCTATTACAAGCCTAAAACCAAAATTTGACATGTTTTGACATCGTTGTTTATTTGGTCGCTATGACAATTATATTCAAATTTGCTACCGGTCTGTTGTTTCTATTTCGATAATTCTACATAAATAATCCTCTTGACCATTTACAAAAAATTTGCGTTTAATTTAAATAATTTTTCCGTTCTCTCTAGAAAGGTATAAAAGCCGAACAATCGGTGAAGAAATTGAGTCTCGCTTCAGTTTTCGAGTTCGAAGCATCTCCTAAAGGCCTTATCCCGGGGCCGCACTGCCCCAGGATCCTGCAACCCACTGTCCTGCCTGAAGCCACTGGACTCTACGAACCTCTGCTCTACCTGAAGTCGCCGGATCCTACAAGCCTTTGCTCTGCCTGAAGTCGCCGGAATCCTACAAGCCTTTGCTCTGCCTGAAGTCGCCGGGATCCTACAAGTCTCTGTCCCGCCTGAAGTCGCCGGAACCTGGAAACCTCTGTCCCGCCTGAAGTCACCAGATCCTGCAGGCCTCTGTCCTGTCTGAAGTCGCTGAGGATCCTGCAAGCCCCTGTCTGGCCTGAAATCGCCGGATCCTGCAATCACCGCATTCACCTGAGGTCGTCGCCTAGAGACGCCCACGCCTTCTCACCTACGCCGTGCGTGCTCGTTCCAGGCGCTGAGAGCACACTTTGGATCTTCAGACTCAACTTCGACTCTAATCTTTTTTTTTATTACCTCTTTTTAAAAAAAATTGTAAATCACGACATCCATCCTCATCTTCATACCCCATTTTACTATATAAAATTGTAAATATCTTTTAAATCTTAAATATATTATTTGTTTTTTGTAGTATTTTTGTTGTTTTGCTGTTACTAGGTTAGGTTCTTTTTTGTTCT